ACTTGGACGAGGAACATCCCTTCAAAATTCCAGTCTTCTAGCTTCTCAGATTCCCGAGCCTAGCAACTTACCCGAAAAAACTTTCAAGGGCACTTACGTAGGTACCACGTACACCGAACATGAAACATCTACCACCGGATATCCTCTAAAAAGGTGGTCCACGTACATGCTTGGCAATAAAAAAAAAAAAAACCACCGAGTCTTACACTCTTTTCGATCTTTATATGGGGTCCAAACGGGCAAAAGCACCAAGTCAGACGGGTAATCCCTCCCCTAGCAATTCCTGTGTAGTTCCCGAATAAAGTAGTGCCCAATACTGTATAAAAAGAGGAAAAGGACAGACACAGAATGTACTCAGTTACGCGCTTTAGCATCCGGTTTAGAGCGAAAATGTGGTCTGCTATTCTACGAATGTTTCTTGAATTCATACTGCCCCCCTCCCCCTTCTCTCCCCTGCTGCTCATCGAAGGGACTTATTAAGTCGGTTAATGATAAATCTCACACATGAATCCGTGACTGTTAGAAAACAAACAGTTCGTGTAATAGTCTTTTCGGAAGTTCCCTATCATTTTTCATGTAGTGCAAAATGATTTTCGACTCCTTCCAACTGATAAGCACTTCATTTTCGAGTAAATCGAAAGGCAAAAAAAGTAAAAATCAGTGAAAATTAATAGTTAAACTTACAGCAAAGCCTTTTCGAGGTGCATTCTCACGTATAAGAATATCTGCCGCGCATTTTACAGGTCGCATTTTGAGGCCTTCAGCTGATGACAGAAATGCGCAAAGACTTTCGCTTACAACAAGTTCTGGTGAAATCTCTTCGGAATTCGTCTCACTCGTATCGCCGCTATTTTCCCATTCCACTCGTCTGCTCGATTCTTTCTGTTTATTTCTGGAACACAATTCCCCGTAATGCTCTAGTGATTTACACAAAAATTTCTCCATTCAACTCGTTGTTGCGCACTACGAGTCCATGCGATACTGTACAGGCGTACCACGGGGTCTCGCCACCTCACTGGTGGCCTTCCCCAGTGTTCGCTTGACCGTGCGTGGGTACCATTCTATTATCCGCTTCGTCCATCTATTATCTGTCATCCATTGCCACAGGTGGTCAAATAAACCAAAACACTCCGAAAATTACCTGTAATTCTCAGCCCCAGCAAGCACACTTCTCATCAGAAACAGTGGCGTTCGTTCGCCAATCACATCAAGCATGCTCTGTAGATCTTCAGGATTCGGCGATGATGCTGCATCTTCCGAAAGGGTCTAAAAAGAAGTAATTAAAGCGGGAAAATCCTAATTTTTCCGACACAGGCTGAATAGTAGAGTAAGAAGATTGGAATTAGGTGTCATGTATAAGACATTTCACGATGCAGTCTGTGTGTTTTATCCTTTAGCCGTAAACACAAACCGGACTATGCATGATGAAAACCTTTTTTCATCTTTTCCACCTGAATCCTTCGAATTTCATTTCTTTGGGAGGTGAAGGCATTCTACGATAAACTAAGTTGTAACGACTGTTAAAGGTAGCCACTCACTAACAAATTAGTGTCAGTTAGAAAGACGCCCTTATTGATAAATAAGGTTTATCTTATTTATCTCCGATTTATCTTAAAAAGGAAGACTAATAAAAAGAGGCGGGGG